TCTTCCACCAACTCCTCCACATCATCACCATCCAATTCCAAGCCCATTTTCTGGCCTAGACTAACAATTTCCTCAACAATAGGCGCATCATTTATAGGCTCAAACCCCTCAAAGTCTAGTTCTCTCACACCTTCAGGCCACAATTTTCTCCAGCCAGAGATCAGGGTTCTTTGAGTCACTTCTTGCCAGGCTTTGTCAACGAGTTTTAAAGCACTAAAAATGTTAAAATGCTCTCTCCAGAACTCTTTGAGGGTGAGGTTTGTGGCTTCAGTCACTTCAAAACATTTCCGGAAAAGTGCCCTTTCATACAGTTTCTTAAAATTCGCTATGATTTTCTGGTCCATAGGCTGAATTAGAGGAGTGGTGTTAGGAGGAAGGAATTTAACTGTGAGGAATTTATTGCATTGAGGCATCAAATCATCTTCCAAGCCTGGAGGATGAGCAGGAGCATTGTCAAGGAGAAGCACGGCTTTGAGTGGCAATTGTTTCTCCTGCAGATATTTTTCTATGGCAGGGCACAGCACTTCATTCACCCACTCCGAAAAAATTAGCCTAGTCACCCATGCTTTTTTATTAGACTTCCACATCACAGACAAACGGGTTTTCTGCACATTATACTGTTTGAAAACCCTTGGATTTTCAGAATGATACACTAGCAAGGGTTTAATTTTTAAATCGCCACTCGCATTTGAACACAGCACAAGCGTAAACCTATCTTTCATAGGCTTGTGTCCAGGCAAGGATTTTTCCTCCTTGGTAATATATGTCCTCTTAGGCATTCTTTTCCAAAACAGTCCTGTTTCGTCACAATTAAACACTTTTTAATAATTATTTTGTGTTTTTGGGGGGTTATTTTTTCTCGACTTATTTCAACACATATTGACCTACAGCTTTCACATATTCGAGTACGAATGCCAAACAATGTTAACACTTTCGCGCTTTAGATTAGAGATAACTCGTCGCCGTTTTTTCTTACGATTCCGCATAACAGCCTACTTTTCTTGTCCATCGAAAAAATATTTCTATAAATTCCATTTTTTAACCGAAATGGATGGGGATACTTTTGTTTTGTAGAGAATTTATTTGCAAATTTTTTGGTACCAGAATGAATATTATATCACAAACTTCTATGAGTTAAAAAAAAATACACAAAGTATGTTTGGGGGTGTGGCGAGCGTGTGGCAGTGGGTTCCCTTTAGCCGTTGATATATCCAACACGTGGGAAATATTTGTATGTGTTATGTATATGTCTGTGTAGGGAATTTTACTGCGATCACTGTGATGCAAATTATAAAATGTTTCAACAAGTATAAACATGACAAACATCAAACGAACGAAAACAATGCGTTCGTTTCTGCCGCGAACGCATACTGAGCGACGTGGTTCTATATTTGGCGCTTCTCTTACACATGCTTTGTACAAATGTTATACAGTTCATCTTATAGAAAATTTTATTGCGAACACATTGGTATAAAAAAGAAATACGTACATAGAAAAGTAGGGTCAGGAAACGTATAAACTTTCCAAGCATGATTTCCCCCCTGTGTTTTCGCCAGTGCGCTCGCGGCTAACTACTCTCCACTTCACACACTCTTGCGGGTGGGCAATTACCTATATTAAACATTCATATGCATATGTCCGTGTAGAGAATTTTATTGCGATTCCAATGATACCAAAATTAGCGATGTAGGACAACTGTAGGCTTCGCAACCATTAAGAGAGTGGAAACATTTTGTTGCTGTTTGGCGCTCTCGGCGGGTGATCTGCATAGTTTTTTATTTGGTGTTGATACTCCTTATGCTTGGGCGGCATTTTAGAGGTATGCTCTTATAGACAATTTCATTGCGAACACAGTGATACCAAATTTAAATACGTGCGCCTTCAATTATTGTCAGGACAGTCAAAAGAGTGTACACTTTTTCGGTCTTACCGCGTAGGCGCGCGAAGTGCCGAAAGCATCTGGGGTATTGTTTTTTTTTGAGCGCCGAGAGCGCGAAAGTGTTAATTAAAACATACAATTAAATTAATGAATTAAAACTGTCTAAATTTATTCATTGTTGATAACTTCAACTTCAATTATCTCTGAAACTAGAGTTTCAACTTTGAGTGGCTTCTAAAATATCAGTTTTTCACTGATTCTCACTATTTTGACGTATTGTCTGCTCAGCTGTCTGTTCTACAATCCCTTCAGAATGGATTTTTCATAAACTTTATATATTTGGAGTTACATTTTTTGGGGTGGAAATTTGCTGCATATTTCAAATGCCCTATTGATGATTTTTTTTTACAGTAAACTATACTGAAAACCTTTATTCTAATTTGATGAAAATGAAGATCATATGCTATTCTGAGAGAATAATAACATTAAATGAACAATTGGTGAAAGTTCATATTTTTTTTAATCTGAATTGAAAATCTGAAGTTTTCAATTTTCAATTTTAAAATTAATTTTGATTCTCTTGATTTTCAAATTACGCTGTGATCATTTGGACAAAGTTGGAGCATTTACCGAGTTGATTATGCCAAAAAAATTGGAAAGTGTCTTGTGGAAGTTTTAAAAAATTATGTTAAATTATTTTATGTCAAATCACATATGTACTGTATATATTGTGTGGTCTAAGGGTTAATGATGATAAGTTCCAGCTGTTGCATTCGGAAAAAAATGAAAAATGTAAAACAGAAACCACGCACAAAATGCCATCAAATCATAACATAGAACAAAAAAGCAATGTAAAGGATTTGGGTGTACTCATGTCGGATGACCTTACCTTTAAACACTTTCATGCACCCTTCACTTGGATGTACAGGCGTTTTTTTTCTATCGCTTGTGGGGTCGCGTCGTACATTTATGGTCCGTGTTATAGTAAGTATATACTACTCGATCGACTTGGGGTTTGTATGAATATGTTTGCCATTAAATTTCCGTTTTCTCTAATAGGCACAGTGCCTATTTGAGAAAACGGCATTGTATTGTAACTTAGAGGAGAGACTATTGAGTTGGTGACACAGCGAGGGTAATCGCCCACTCCACACACTCTTGTGTTGGCCGCGATCATGATTCTACATTTATATGCATATGTCTGTGTAGAGAATTTTACTGCGAGTTCAGTGATATAAAATTTAATGCTGTAGGACTAATGTGGAGCTGACAACAAACAAAAAGAGTATGAACATTTTGTTGCTGTTTGGGCATACGGCGAGACGGCGAGTGATCTACGTTTTTATTTATTTCGTGGTGGAATAGCTAATGCTTTGGTTACATTTTATACATATGATCTTGTAGAGAATTTTATTGCCAACACATTGATACCAAAAGGAAATACGTAGCTCGAGAATTGGTGTCAGGAGAGTGAAAAGATTACACACTGTTAGGTGTTTATGCTCAAGAGAAAAAAACGCCGCGCGCACTATGCGCAGAGTTTTTTTCGCGATGCCCGGCCACATTAAAGTGTTAAAGAACACAATAAAGTAGCCGTCACAGCTGCAAGAAAAATGACAGGTTGGATAACATGAAGTTTTCAAACTATAGATGATATACCAATGATAGTACTTGTCAAGACACTAGTGCTCTCTAGTGTGGAATATTGTTGCACAATGATGGCCCCTTTCAAAGCTGGAGAAATTGCTGACCTGGAGAGCACGTAGAGATCCTATACTGCTAGAATCCACTCGGTAAAACATCTAAAATTATTGGGACCGACTAAAATACCTAAATCTGTATTTTCTTGAGCACAGGTGGGAGATACATAATAATTTACACATGAAAAATAATAGAGGGGCTGGTCCCAAACCTGTACACAGACTTATCACCACATGAGACCAGGAGGCATGGCAGGATGTGCAGAATACCCCCATTGAAAAGCAGAGGTGCAATAGGTACTCTGAGAAATAACTCTATCAACATCATAGGCCCGAGACTGTTCAGCACGCTTCCACTACACGTAAGGGGCATAACTGGCCGACCCCTCACAGTGTTCAAGAGAGAACTGGATAAACACCTCCAAAGGATACTTGATCAACCAGGCTGTGACTCGTACGTCAGGCTGCTAGCAGCCGCCTCCAACATCCTAGTTGACCAGTCCAGCAATGAGGCCTGGTCAATGACCAGGACACAGAGACTCGAAACCAACAAAGGGTAACGCAAGGTAAAGGTAGTGTGTGCTGGAGGATTGCATAAGGGTGGTGTAGTCTGCTGGAGGATTGCATAAGGCTGGTGTAGTCAGCTGGAGGATTGCATAAGACTGGTATAGTCAGCTGGAGGATTGCATAAGGCTGGTGTAGTCAGCTGGAGGATTGCATAAGGCTGGTGTAGTCAGCTGGAGGATTGCATAAGGCTGGTGTAGTCAGCTGGAGGATTGCATAAGGCTGGTATAGTCAGCTGGAGGATTGCATAAGGCTGGTGTAGTCAGCTGGAGGATTGCATAAGGCTGGTGTAGTCAGCTGGAGGATTGCATAAGGCTGGTATAGTCAGCTGGAGGATTGCATAAGGCTGGTATAGTCAGCTGGAGGATTGCATAAGGCTGGTATAGTCAGCTGGAGGATTGCATAAGGCTGGTATAGTCAGCTGGAGGATTGCATAAGGCTGGTATAGTCAGCTGGAGGATTGCATAAGGCTGGTATAGTCAGCTGGAGGATTGCATAAGGCTGGTATAGTCAGCTGGAGGATTGCATAAGGCTGGTATAGTCAGCTGGAGGATTGGGTGAAACTTAGCTGTAATGGAGTCCTGCAGATTATTTATCTCTTGCAATTTTATCTCAAAACTGCATTTCCTGGGAATGCTGCATTATTAGCAAGTGTTAGGAATATTCCTAATTAAATAAAATTAATAAAATATTATTTTTGCTTTACAATGATTGGGAAATCCAAATGACTGTTTCCTCTAGTACCTGCAGGGTATATTTGTGCTCAACCCTGCAAGCACATCTAGATGAGTACATACTTGAATTCATACTTATATATGTTCATATGTGCATTCATAAGCAAATTTCTATTCTTGTAGATCTTTGAAAGATGAAGTTGAACGTCTTCGACTCCAGCAATTGAGGAGGAGTTCTTCTCAGCTTTTTGATGGGGAGGTTATGGGAGATGAAGAAATATCTGATCAAGAGGGAGGTACTGATGATAAAGAGAAAGATCTGTTGGAGAGAGAAAATGCTGTCAATCAAAAGGAAATGGAAAGTAATCAGGCAATCCAAGAAAAAGAAGAAGAAATAGCAGGCTTAAGGGAACAGTTAAGATGCACACAGTTGCACTGTCAACATGTTCTCAGTGAGAAAAATAGGTAAGCTGTATTCTGACAAATTTTTTACCCAAGGTCCTAAAATATACAGTCAATTTTTTCATTCATACATTAGATTGACTAGAGAAATACAACAAGCAAATTATGTACAAGGCATTGTATGGTACTGTACAATTTTCAAGTTTCTAGTTGTGTGTTAAATTTTGGTAATTTCTATCCATTGAAGTTTTTCCAAGCAACCTAAGCTTTTATAACTAAATTTCCTACACTCCTTCAATCCATCACCTGTAGTAACTTAATTTGTTGATTATTTGTTTTTTTAATCAACAGTATGGCTCCACTGTACATTATTTCCACTTTGTTGTAGAGTGCTATTTCTAGCTATTACAGTACAGTATTGATATGTTCTTCAATTATTCACAGGCGATTGAAATGTTTCCAGTTAACATAAGGATTCGTACAATTTTCCTCATAGTATTTAATACATAAAAGCTAGATTATTTAATTTTATGCCAATATTTTTGTTTACATTTACATACATAACAGAAATCTAGAGCAGCGTCTTCAAGCAGCAGAGGCTCAGCGTCAACAAGCTCTGGAAAGTCTTCGCCGTCTTGGTATTGCCAGTGAGGTATGCATAATAGTATGTTCAGGGAAAATTAGGGTGAATGGTGTACTTAACAGTACAGTACTAATTGTGACTGTGAAGGTGCATTGTGTTGAAAACTTAGGATTTGACTATTTAAGAATAACCCAGAGATGGCATAGTGACATCGAAATAGAGAAACGTGTAAGTGTAGTTACAGGATGAGAGCTACGCTCGTGGTGTCCTGTCTTCCCAGCACTGTCATATACCGCTTTGAAACTACTGACGGTTTTGGCCTCCACCACCTTCTCACTTAACTTGTCCCAACCGTCTACCACTCTATTTGCGAAGGTGAATTTTCTTGTATTTCTTCGGCATCTGTGTTTAGCAAGTTTAAATCTATGACCTCTTATTCTTGAAGTTCCAGGTCTCAGGAAGTCTTCCCTGTCGATTTTATCAATTCCTGTTACTATTTTGTACGTAATGATCATATCACCTCTTTTTCTTCTGTCTTCTAGTTTTGGCATATTTAATGCTTCTAACCTCTCCTCATAGCTCTTGCCCTTCAGTTCTGGGAGCTACTTAGTAGCATGTCTTTGCACCTTTTCCAGTTTGTTGATGTGCTTCTTAAGATATGGGCACCACACAACAGCTGCATATTCTAGCTTTGGCCTAACAAAAGTCATGAACAATTTCTATAGTATATCGCCATCCATGTATTTAAAAGCCATTCTGAAGTTAGAAAGCATAGCATAGGCTCCTTGCACAATAATCTTTGTGGTCCTCAGGGGATAGTTTTCTATCTAGAACCACCCCTAGATCTCTTTCTTTATCAGAATTGTTTAAAGATTTCTCACATAATATATAGGTTGTGTGGGGTCTATGTTCTCCTATTCCACATTCCATAACATGGCATTTATTAACATTAAATTCCATTTGCCAAGTGGTGCTCCATATACTTATTTTGTCCAGGTCATCTTGAAGGGCATGACAATCGTCTAAGATTCTTATCCTTCCTATTATCTTAGCATCATCAGCAAACATGTTCATATAATTCTGTATACCAACTGGTAGATCATTTACGTAGACAATAAACATCACTGGTGCAAGAACTGAACCTTGTGATACTCCACTTGTGACATTTCTCCAGTCCGATACATTGCCTCTGATCACTGCCCTCATCCTTCTATCAGTCAGAAAATTTTTCATCCATGTTAGCTTACATGTCACCCCTCCAATATTTTCCAGTTTCCAGAACAACCTCTTATGATGAACTCTGTCGAAAGCCTTTTTTAGGTCCAGATAGATGCAGTCAACCCAACCATCTCTTTCCTGTAATATCTCTGTGGCTCGATCATAGAAACTGAGTAAATTCGATACACAGGATCTTCCAGATCGAAAACCATACTGTCTGTCTGATATTATATCATTTCTCTCCAGGTGTTTTTCCCATTTAATTTTAATTATTTTTTCCAATATTTTGACTATTACACTTGTCAATGATACCGGTCCATAATTAAGGGGGTCTTCCCTGCTTCCACTTTTGTAGATTGGAACTATGTTAGCCTTTTTCCACACATCAGCTACAACTCCTGTAAACATGGATGCCTGAAAAATCAGTTGAAGTGGAATGCTGAGCTCAGGTGCACATTCTCTCAGAACCCATGGTGAAACTCCATCTGGACCAACTGCTTTGTTCTTACTTAGCTCCTTGAGCATTTTTTCACTTTGTCTCTAGACACCTCTGTGCTCTATGTTGTTCTCTGGAATTCTTATTGTGTCTGGTTCCCTGAAGATTTCATTTTGTATAAAAACACTTTGGAACTTTTCGTTCCAAAGGGAACAGTTTCACACATTTCCTTTTCGTTTTCTGCGAATCTATTTCCCATTTTCAACTTCTGAATATTATCCTTTACTTGCAATTTGTTGTTTATGAATTTATAGAATAGACCTGGTTCTGTTTTACGTTTGTCTTCAATCTCTTTTTCAAAATTTCTTTCTGCCTCTCTCCTCACTGCCGTGTAGCTGTTTTTCGCATCTTTGTATCGCTGGTATGTTTGGGGGTTTGGCCTCTTCCTGTATTGATTCCATTTTTGTGTCTTTTGGTCTCTGGCCCTCTCGCAATTTCTATTGAACCAATCCTGTTTCTTAGTTCTGCATCTCTGTTTTGGTATAAATTTTTTTGTGCCTTTATCATATATTTCACAAAACTTGACATACATATCATTCACTTTCTTGTCTAGCATCAAGTCTGTCCAATTGTACTCATTAAAAAAAATTTCTAAGGTGGCAATAATGTCCTCTCCTGAAGTCAGGTTTTTCAACTGCTTCAACCTCCATATTTTCTTCCAGATTATAATGCATTGCATACTTTATTCCCAAAAAGACATGGTCACTTTTACCCAAGGGAGGAAGGTACTGAATGTCAAATATCTCTTCGTCCTTCCTGGTAAATATCAAATCTAGCATGGAGGGAACGTCCCCTTCCCTCATCCTCGTAGCTTGTTTAACATATTGATACAAGAATGTTTTCAGGATGAGATCTACAAATCTACAGGTCCAAAAATCTTCTGTTTTAGCTTCATATGCTTCCCAGTCTATGGATTTCAAGTTGAAGTCACCGATTATCGACAGTCGTGATCTATCGTTATCCGCTCTCGCTATAATCTTTCTCATTATTGTTATAAGACCTTCGTGTTTTCTATCTAGCTCCTCCTTTGACCATGTGCATCTTTGCGGTGGACTATATGCATTTATGATCATTAGGTTATCTTCCTCATGGCAGATCTCTAGTGCTATTATGTCAACTTCTTGTGGATTGGCAGTCATTATTTCTTTCACCTTTAGGTGTGCTTTCACCAGCACAGCAACGCCACTGCCTTAACTAATTTTTCTGTCCCATCTTCAAATTGAGTAGCCCTTTGGGAATATGACCTCATTTAAAATAACATCTTCAAGTTTTGTCTCCGTGAGTGCAACAATGTCTGGTGTCTGCAGCTGTATTACATCACTTAACTCCAGTATCTTCGATCTCACTCCATCTATGTTGGTGTATGCAATCTTCAGGAACTTGTTCCCCCTCTCCTTATTCTTCACTCCCCCTCTCTCTATTGATTTTGTTGGTTTGCCTTTATGTACCACTTTACTGGTCTGCCTACCCCTATCATTTTGCAGAAAAAAGAATTGATTTCTTCTTCTTTCCTGCTCTCATTTAAACTTTTTACCTCGGCGAGGTTCAGTTTCAGCTTTACTCTGTCTTCTTTTGAAATATCTCGTCTTAACGACCACACTTTAGAATCATCATTACTTTGTAATTTTCTGGCATTCTTGAGTACTTCTTCCATCTGTTTGGCACCGTTTAGGGTAATCCTCAAAGGTTGATCTTTCCCTTCTACGTTTTTGCCTATTCTCCTGTAGTCACACATATTCTCTATGGTAGTAAGACCTTCTACTATGCCAACAATTTTATCTACTACTTTCGCTTTTTCTACAGCTCTTTCTGACCTAGATGTTATCTCCTTTTCTTTGCAACCAAAAATTATCAGGGATTTGCTCCGATCAACTGTGTTTTGCACCAACTTCGGGTTAGATGCCAATTCCTTTCTCACTTCCAGCCTAATGTTTGTTTTATCTTAGTTGCTGCAGTGTTTGGCTTCCTTTACGGCTTCTTCAATTTTTTCCTACTCATTGGCCACTTGTGCATAGGTGAGTTGCATATCTGTCTTGCACTGTTATATTCCCTGTGTAACTTCCTCCATCTGTGCTGACAAAAGCTGTTTCTCCTGTTGAATTTCCTTACCTAACCTATTGTAGTCATTTATGTTTAAATTTACTTTAACTTCTTCCAAAGCTATTTTTAAGAGTTTATTTTCTTCTTTCATGGCTTTGCAATTTGTTTCGAATTGATTTTTATCCTTGCACAAGTCTTTCACTATATCCTCAAGACATAAAACTTTGCTATTCAAATGGTCATTACTTTCTTTCAATTTACTAATTATTTCTACATGGGAGTTCACTATAGTATCTAATTTTACCAACTTGTTATGTAGACTACTAATATCAATGCTTTCTTCATTGAATCCCGCAAAATCAAGCTCTGTTTTGTTTTTCCTCTTGCCGGCAGCGATCTTGAAAGTTCCTCTCTGCACTGGAAACACTAGGGGCAACTTTTTCTCATTTGATTTTTCACTTCCCTTAGCACATTCCTGTTATCTCACCTATTTTTCAAAAGCACTATACCCTTATGTTCTCTGGGACACCACTCACTATCATCAACCTGTACTACAATACTTAGGATTGTTGAAATATGCTGGAGCTCCTCTGATGCAAGTGTTGACCCCTGGGGGTATCACCTTTTGAATCCTTTTGAATTGAATGTGTGTGTAATTACCTAAGTGTAGTTACAGCATGAGAGCTACGCTCGTGGTGTCCCGTCTTCCCAGCACTCTGTCATATAACGCTTTGAAACTACTGACGGTCTTGGCCTCCACCACCTTCTCCCCTAACTTGTTCCAACCGTCTACCACTCTGTTTGTGAAAGTGAATTTTCTTATATTTCTTCGGCATCTGTGTTTAGCTAGTTTATATCTATGACCTCTTGTTCTTAAAGTTCCAGGTCTCAGGAAATCTTCCCTATCGATTTTATCAATTCCTGTTACTATTTTGTATGTAGTGATCATATCACCCCTTTTTCTTCTGTCTTCTAGTTTTGGCATATTTAATGCCTCTAACCTCTCCTTGTAGCTCTTGCTCTTCAGTTCTGGGAGCCACTTAGTAGCATGTCTTTGCACCTTTTCCAGTTCGTTGATGTGCTTCTTAAGATATGGGCACCACACAACTGCTGCGTATTCTAGCTTTGGCCTAACAAAAGTCGTGAACAATTTCTTTAGTATATCGCCATCCATGTATTTAAAAGCAATTCTGAAGTTAGAAAGCGTGGCATAGGCTCCTCGCACAATATTCTTTATGTGGTCCTCAGGTGATAGTTTTCTATCTAGAACCACCCCTAGATCTCTTTCTTTATCAGAATTCTTTAAAGATTTCTC